CTCTCTCTCTCTCTCTCTCTCTCTCTCTCTTTCTCTCTCTCTCTGTGTGTGTGTGTGTGTGTGTGTGTGTGTGTGTGTGTGTGTGTGTGTGTGTGCACTTGCCGCATGCACATTGGACGCGTCACTCGGTTGTGTTCTTCGCGTTGAAGCCTATAGGCTCTCGCGACAAATGGAAGTGTGACCGAGTGAAATAGTCGTTCTTGTACTCGTTCCCAAGCCGCCCTCCAAACTCCGACACCCCGAAAACGCAGCGGCTTCGTTTTTTTTAATTAAAAATAATAATAATAATAATTTTAATCGCTTGAGGTGGTACCCAACAGGCCACTACAGCACCCCAGGCCCTCAGAACCTGCGCCCCCCCCCCACAAAATACGCGAAATCGGGTTTCACGGACCCCGTTGATTCACGTCCAACACACGTTCAAACGGGGATTCAACGCGAACTCAACAGGCGTTGAATTTTTTAACGTGAAACCCGCGTTGAATCCGATTTCGGACACATAGGCTGGATTTACTTGTCCAAGGAAGTAGAAAACACAATGGTTGTGGACTTGTCATCAGGGACGGTCACGTATGAATTGTTTAGGTGGGCGGAACGGGAAGTTATGTGGGCGGTATGCCAACGGGAAGAAATGGAAATGGACAAGAGTCACAAGATAGATGTACGGGTGGAAAAAGGGTTAGAGGTAATGTTAGGCGGCCTTTCAGGACAATGAGGTGTATCGTGACTCCGTTCTTAGTAGACGCAGTCTTCAGGACCCCGAGTAGGCTGGTGCGGATATGACAGTCCATAGCGAACCTTGGGTTGTACCAAGGCACCCGACAGGACTTCTTCCATCTATCGGTCGAAAGGGGAAGGGAATTGGGCAAGAGAGCTAGCCAAAATATTAAATTGTCTCTGCACGGATGAGGTGTTTGTCCCATGTCTCGTCCATTGGAAAATAATCTATAGGAATGTAGCAGTAGGGGAGATGTTTCTGGATGGGCTGCAGGACCTATGGTATGAGGAAGAGGACGACCTCACTGATGAGGAGGAAGATTAGCAATTGAGGACCGAGACTTTTGAGGAATGGGGCTGGGAGCAGGAATGATATGGGTGGTCGGCACTGTGCAGGGGACAAGCATAGCTAGGGAACAGAGATTAAGCAACCGGATGTTTAAGGGATGGATGCCAAAAAGGCTTGAAAAAGGAATAGAAATGACCTTGCCAATGAGAATGAGTGGGGGGGAACGGCTTGCGACTTGGTAGGAAGGGAGATGGCATCGGCATTGTCGTTCGTATGGGTAAAAAAGGTATGGAACCCGTTCAGAGAGGAAGAAGGACGGGACAATGGAGCCGAGGGAAGTGTAGAATCCCTCGGGACGGTGTACCTATCGAAGAAAGGCTGACACCTGTTCTGTGTAGCACTATCATCCGGACAAAACCCGATGTGGATCTTAGGGGAGGCCGAGCGTCGGACTAGAGACATGGGCTAAGAGTTCCCCAATGAACGGTGGGATGAAGTAAGCAGTAGGGTCGTCATAGGAGGATGGGAGAAGCTCAGGCTGCCGTGCCAATCAGTCCAGGCCTGCGTGCTGCATTTTGTAGCGGATTGGTTCGGAGAATACGAACATATCCGCTCGGTGGCGGTAGTAGCCTTGGACGAAGTACACCTGGGCTTCTCGTGGCTACTCGACGCCTACTATAAGATCTCTTTGGAAGAAGGACCCTTCCATGGGGATGGAGCAAAGGAGGTCGTCGACATCTTAAGGGTTATGAGGGATGACCGGACTGATGTGGAGGACGGAACCAAGGACCCAATACTACGCTGCAAGGTGACCGCCACCCCCTCGTATGTAGGCGATGCATTTCTATTGTTTCAAGTTTTGTGGTTTTAGTCCGAAGTGCGCCCCCTAAAACGGAAAGTGCGCCAACGGCGGGCCGAAGGAACATGGGAAGTAAGTAGGGAACAAGAACCAGGGTCGGAAATGAGAATACAGTGGGAGGGAGATTACCACGGTAAGGATGAAAAAACTGAATCCAGCAAGTGTGGAATCCCGATGGATGTAGCAGTCGACCGGAAGAAAGCATGAATGGAGACACCGCAGGATGCCTCAAAGAATGACGCTTTGGGAGAACAGGCCCCGTGTGATCTTGCCGCCAAACGAAATAGACAATAGGGTAGAAATATGTATGCCGACAAGGAATGGGGTCAGCAACCCGGTAATGGACTGGGTGGGAATAAAGTTGGTGGAAGATGGAGTGTATGTAGTGGTGGAATCGGAATGGCGTGCGAGAGGTGAGTTCGGGGGCATAAACTTGGATCTGCCAAGACGCGTACATGTCATGGGTTCGCTGTACTTATCTGGAGAAGGGTGGCGCACCTTCGGAATCACTTTGGCATCTGGGGGCGACCCCGTGCGAATGCTTGAGCGGGTTTGGCAAATAACCTGGCGAGAGGGGTTCGAATTCGAGGATCCGGAGCGGGAGGACGTAACGGTTGAAGTAAGTATCGTCATGGCAGGAAACTTTACCCTGACAAACGAAATCGTACGAATGAGCTTACCGCCCTTTCTACTGAGACGAATGGGAGGCTTGGAACGAGTTGAGCAAGCGATAGCTGCACTAGCTAGTCTAAGCTTCGAAGAAACGTCAGTGTATCGTCCTTCCTAGAGATGGGGCCGTTTGAGGAAGAACAGGGATACAAAGTGTTATGCGTTTTACGTGCGACTGTAACAATTAGACCAAGGATCCCACTAGTAAGTGATGAGACTATGTGGGGAGTCATTAGGTAGGAAGTAAGTCGCGGAATGACCTACATAGACGACGTCTATCGTTTATTTGAGCTACCACAGGAAGAGGCAGCCCAATAAAGAGGAAAACAAAAACAAGAATGATGGAAAGGATGGGGTAAGAAGCAGGAGGACAGCTAGCAATGTCTGGGGCCATGGAAGGAATCAGCAGGATTTATTTTTTGTCTGAACTATGCAGAAATGCACCAACCGGCGATGACAATGAGGTACCCCTGAACGTCACGACGACCCACGCACCCACGACCACTCACGGAGAGCGGTAACGGGTGGGAAGTGTCGCTCCCAGCAAGCTACGAGGTTCGAGGGATCGACATTGAATAGTGTGTTGTGACCTTGGGACGAAACCAAGCTTATATGATAATGGAATGCCTATTGAGTGGCATGAGATTCAATAGGGGGTCAGTAGATGACCTGTACACCGACCTTAGGGTGACTGAAACCGTGTATCTACCTAAGATTGGGTGACACATGTTGGGACCGAGATGACACTAAGGCATGGGCTGCTCCCAATCTTTCGGAGAGCAACAAGAGCGTTGAACCGGATAGGCCAAGAAATTCGGGGAAGAAGGAGTGTAGGGCTGAGGACTCGGGTGGAAATAGGAGGATGGCAAAAGTTTAGAGCCTTGATGGCGGGATTGTGGTGTCGAGTACCCCGCTTTATGATTGACTTAGTGTTCGGGAACCTTACGAGGGCAAGGGACCTGGTGAATGCAACCTTAATTTGTGTACACTATTTCCAGCCTGAGATGACAGGAATGTTTTACGATGTGTTAATAAGGCACGGATCGTTTTGGGGGAATCGGGCGTGGGAATTGCTAGAACTCATCAAGATTTTGATATTTAGAACACCTCGCCTGACTTATGAAGAATATGAGCCAATAATTATTAGGGAGATAGGAATGGGGGAGAACTACCTAGAAGGGGTGGCTAACCTGTTCGAAGAGCCCATCGAACATGACGAGCCCGAGGAACCGGTGTGAGAAAATGTCGGGGAATGTGGCCAAACGTGAATACAAGCTATGAATTACTAAACAAAAGCGAGAATACCGATCTGCGGAAGATAGCAGCTGGGGTCCTACTTTATGCAACGGTGTGACAGGAAAAGGACTACGATTGCCGCTACTACCGAGGATGTTAGAAGTGTCCAAAGGTTGGGAAGGCAAAATGTCATATCCAAAACAGGGACCCACCCGCCATAGACACGCCGCCTTAGAGCCGATGCGCGGCGGTGTCAAAACGTCGACCATAGCGGCAGGCTCCCAACGGGAAAGGTAAGCGATACCCCGAGAAACGGGAAAGGAGGGCAGACATGTTACGGCCACCAAAAAAACAGAAATATTAAAATGGCAAAGATAGGGAGACTATGAAACCGACCGTAAGCCTTAGGGTCTGGAAACCCTAAGAACTGTGAACAATCGGTCATTTTGAAATGGAAAAAAAAATCCTGGTGCAAGGATTAGAAAAGGATGGAGACAAAGGAAAAAGTAGGGAGTCTATGAAGCAAGGAGACTCAAGGCATGGAGAAGGATGTAGAATAGAACGAGGGGTTCATAAGAGACCGAGAGTCGACGAATCCGGAAGGTACTAAGGAAGGAAGGAAGGAAGTTGCAACCGAGGAAAACCCAGGAAAAGTCGGCGGAAGCAAACGAGCAACTCAGGAAACTAGGGGGGATAGGGATAAGGACAGCCCGATTTCACGGGCATCAGAGGGAGCACTGTCAAAAAAGGTGAGGCTAACGGATGCTCAGAAGAAATTAGTCAAAATAGAGAGAAGAACAGAGGAATATAAAGCAAAACTTATAGAAGAAATGATGCATGAGGGCGAAGGGGACTCCGCTGGAGAAAGACCGCGCGAAGAGCAGGGGATAAATCCGGGGCGAGGAAGTCGAGAAGATATCATACAAAAAAGAAAGGGTAGGACCGGGGAACGTAGAGAGACGCCGACCAAGAAAGGAAACGAGAGAACGGAATCCCCGGAAAGAGAGGCAGAAAAGACTACCGACCCACATGCTATAGACAACAGGGCAATTCGACCAGCAGCCTCACCCATAATTGCAAGGGGGTGCGAAGGACCTTGGAGCTTAAGAGAGAGGGTGCTAGGATAGATCGACACGGAAGGGATGACAAAGGCTGTAAAAGAGGCAGAAGCTTGTAAGAAAGAACAGGGCTCCGGCGTCACCGGTGGAATAGGAGTAGCCGAGGGGGGACTTAGAAAGATGGTGTCTTCCCTCACGAGGGCTCTAAAAATAAATCAGGGGTATCTGGCCGATGCGAAGAAGAAATTGACATTCGAGGGGGGACTTAGAAAGATTACTAGAACTTTGCGGCACTATTAAAATGGAGCGAGGAAGAGAAGATGAAACACCTAGGGCAGCATGTGTCATTGAACCTAGGAAGGGACATAATGACCATTGTCGTCACCAGCGGATTCTGGAAGGAGGCCCGGGACGTAATAATGAGAAAATACCTAGCAACCGAGAAGATGGCTACGGAGATAGAAGTGGTTGTAGTGCAAAGAAATAATTTTGCAACATGTAGCGATTCCCTGAGGGAATTCACACTCGTGCCATTGCGAATCCCGGGGCTGACCGACCGTATAATGAGTAAGTACTTCCTTAGACAATTGACTGAGTTTGATAATGATAAGATCCTATCGGCCTACCAACAGACCACGAAGTTTACGAATATGCGGGACGTCGATTTCAACACCGTAACAAACATTGTCGAGAAGATGGTTGTAACTGACTCGTTGACTCTGCTGAAGAAAGGAGAGGTTATAGATCTAACTGTAAAAACAAGGGATAAGGTGAAAAGAGGGATAGAGAGTCTCCTTGAGCGTGCCGACGGAGTAGATGGCAAGATTGAAAAATTGGAAAACGCGTTAGTGGTAATGCAGGCCCAAGTAACGCAAACTCAAGCGGCTTGACCCCCCCCCTCACCTCAAGAAAATGTGGTTCGAGCAGGGATAGCTAACAGAGGGTTCAACCAAAGAAACCCGGCCAGTGAACAATGCAAACATTGGACGATGATCGGACATTTTGTACGGGAATGTCCAAAGTTGAACCATGATATCATGCACAAAAGATGTTACAGGACGCTACAAGGAAAAATCATATGCCCCCGAGGAGATAATGTGAATTGTAACTCTCTAGGAGGGATGCGCCGAGCCATAATTGTACTTAAGAACCTTCACGTCGCTACAATAGAAGCCGAGCCATTGGCGGAACTTGCTTAGGAACAAGCGCGAGGACACGGGCCACAGGTTATCTTTATCTTAGAAAATGACGGTCGATATAGGGTGAATGTGACCACCAAGCAGCGAACAGCAGAAAAAAAGGGGTACATGACGCAATTATGGAAGATGCAGGGGATGGCTCGAGAGCGCCACAAGAAACAGAGGTGCAGGAACAAGAAAGGGTTTATGGGAAACCTAGAGAGGAGGCCCCAATAGACAAAGCAACCTTAGCCAAGAAGAAATTTCGGTATCAGATTCTCATCCTAACTATGTCTGAGATTAATGACACCCTTAGCAAGTTGCTAGGGACCATGGTTTCGGTCTCGTTTCAAACTATGATACAATCAAATCCTAGGTTCCTGAAAGGCCTTAGGCAGCTATTGACAAGGCGGAGAAAAGAAGTAAAAGAAAGACTGGAATAGCAAGAAGAAGAGAAGGAAGATGAGGCACCGTGAGAAGTCGCTAACCACCAAACGATTCCCGGGGACCTGGAAGACATAGAGAAGGTTTTCGCAGATATCCGGCTAAGCTTACTAGACCTCGAGGGAGGCGAAATTATGAGGATGCCACCCGGAATGAAGCTTGGCTTCCATGCGCTGCCATTGGGCAAGTTGAAAGTCCAGATTGGCAGCCACCACACCGATGCACTGGAAGACGGAGGGGCTGAAATCGCACTCATTACAAGAGATTTTGCAAAGATTACAGGATGCCCAGTAAACAAGCAGACAATTGGAAGCATTCGTGGAACAAGTAGGGAAATCTTTTTCTTCGGGTATGTTACTAAGTGCACAGTCAACGCCGGGGTTAGAGAGTCCATTTGGTCGTTCCAACGGATGACTTTCATGGATGAAATGGACCACGACATAATCCTTAGCAGACCTTCGTGCGCAAATGTGGAAATGACAGAAATGCACCTGCACGATGGGACATACATGGTAGACATAGAAGATCCGGTGACGGGATGTGGGGAGGTGCTCCGTCTCATCGGGACAGGGGGTGACACACCAAAAGGAAAGCTAACAACATGGTCACCATCATTTGAGGAAAGTACCAGAAAGAGGGTCTTCTCACAAATGGAAGGAATGAGAAAAGGGTAGAAATTATGGTCGAAGAAGTTTTCAGCAAGAAAAAATGGATCAAGATGGGGTTACCGCAGAAAAAGAGGAGACAGGAGGACGATGCCTCAGGTGTTATGGTAATAGAGAAAGAGACAGAGGTCGAATTAGGAGTCATCTTGCCTAGACCAAAGGAGGTCCGAAATGAGGAGTCCGGGATAACGCTTAAAGTCTCTGACTTACTGCATCTCGTTAAAGTCATTAGGTACCATAAGGTAGGCGTGGATCCAGTAGCGCTTTCCAAGTTTGAGGGAGAAGTTTGAAAAGGCTACTGCCTGAATGGAAAATTGATCAGTATCCAGCCTCGGATCGCCGAAGCACCACGAACGATTCTGACTATGCATTTTTTAGAAAAAAAAACTTGGAAGGAAGCATTCGCAAGTACAAGCCAGTAGGAAAAAAGGCCAAGCCTCTCTTGATCTTCCTAGACACAACAAGGGAGGAAGTCATGGAAAAGGAGGAAGAAGTCCTCCGTGTGATTAAGGAGAGAAAGGCAACTGAAGGACATCGACTACCGAATGAAGTAGAAGAGACCATGAAAATAGGGTTTGAGGCATTCCTGACAGAGCAGGAGACCCGGTTGATCAGGGAAGCATGTCAAGAATCCCACCTCGCATTTGCCTTTAATGACCATCCGAAGGGACGATTAAACGCTAAGTTGATACCACCGATCACAATCCACACAGTCGAGCATTAATGTTGGAACGACAAGGGGTCTTCCTACGATTTCGGAGTAGCAAGGGAAGTGACAAAATTGCTTAGAGTAAAGATGGACTCCTTCGTGGCAAAACCTTACCGGATCACCGTACGAAAATAGATGGTTTGTATTCCAGAAGCCTAACAAGTCACTTAGATGGATCCAGGATCTACAAAAACTTAATGTTGTCACCATCTCAGCCGAGAGATCGCTGCGTCAAGCGGACCTGCTGGCAGAATCCCACGTCGGACGAAGCATTTACTCATTGGTATTTCTCTATTCTGGATATGATCAGCTGTTGCTGAATGCCCGAGATAGACCCTTCACGACCATTCATACCCCGGTAGGCCAACTACAAATGCAAGTGACTCCTATGGGTTTCACGAATGCGGTGGCGGAAGCGCAAAGGAGAATGCTCGCAGTTGCAGGAGACATGTTCCCTGCAAAATGTGAACCTTATATTGACGATAATCCGATCAAAGGCGCACGGGACAAGGATGAAACGGAAATTCAGCCTGACATACAAAGATTTGTATGGGATCACTTGCAGAATATCAAAGAGCTTCTCCGCAGGTTCCTGGTGTATAACATCACTGCCAATGGTCCCAAGAGTATCCTGGAGGTTCTAGAACTGACCATCTTGGGGTTTCGTTGCGGGTCATATGGAAGGAAGCCCGACCCGACCAAGACAAATAAAATCTCTAAATGGCCAACACCTCTACGTACCACAACGGAAGTGAGAGTCTTCCTAGGCGTCGTAGGGTTTAGGATAATTTTCATCAAAGGTTTTGCTAAGATAGCAGAGCCCATTTTGGCCATGATCCTGGAGAAGGATACATTAGACTTGACGGAGGATCAAGAAGCCGTTGTCCAGATCCTGAAAGACATACGAACATCTGAGCAGGTCACCCTTGTCGCTTCATGCTTTAACGATGAGGTAGGGCGTCCGTTTGTACTGGAAAACGATGGGAGGACCACAAGTTGTGGGAGGAGTCTTGATCCAAAGAGGCGAAGATGGGAGAGAGCGACCGATTAGATTCGAAAGTAGGACGTTGAATTCAGTTGAGCGTCACTACTCTCAATTCAAGAAGGAGGTACTGGCAGTTCTTCACTGTTTCAAAACCTTCCAAGCTTACCTCTTTGGAAGAACGTTCATCTTGAGGATCGAACCGACAAATGTTGAAGGGGCACTGAAAAATTACAAGCCTATACACCCTACGGTGAAAAGATGGGTTGGTTTCATTTGGCAATTTGACTATAAGATCGAGCGCATAGCCGACCTTAGAAATAGGGTTGGTGGCTTGAGCAAGGTATGCATTACACCAAGAGTAGAGGACGCGGAACCTATCGATGCGTTTCTCTACTATGAGGGAGGGACCCTTGTGGCAGATAACGAGATGGAAGAGCTTGCCTACACATCCGGGGAATTGTTGATTAAGGCACTGGAGAGAGAGTCTCCTGCAGTAGTGGCAGAACTAAGGGAAGGAGCTGTCACAAGGACCAGTTGTAAGGAAAAGAGGGACTCGTGGGGGGACATTGTGGGGCCTCAGGAAGAGTTAATGGCAATGGTTGTAGAAGGGGTACGGGAAGCGGTTACGAGTCTGGCTGAGTCATGGAAACAGAAGCGGCATCAAGACTTAGTGAACCAAGTACAAAACGGGCAGGAGGATCGCCGGGATCGGAAGGAATTCTTACTCATTCGGATGTACGATAGGATCTTCAAGGAGATCGGTCTATTACTGGTAGGGAGCAAGAAGGCTGAGGTGGCCAGTCGTAAGGCAAGGGAGGAGGTCGATAAGTAGGTATTGACAAATGGGGACCTATTCATGAAAGAGGAAGGACTAATACCTAGAAGGGTTGTGTGGGGACGATTAAAGCAAGTGGACATAATTCAAGCGATGCACGATGGGTGAGCAACTCGGTAATGGACTGAGTGGGAATAGAGTTGGGGAAAAATGTAGTGTACCTAGTGGTGGAATTGGAATGGCGTGCGAGAGGTGAGTTCGGGGGCGTGAACTTGGATCTGCCGAAACGCGTACATACCATGGGTTCGCTGTACTGATCGGAAGAAGGGTGCCGCACCTTCGGAATCACCTTCGCATTCGGGGGCGATCCCGTGCGAAAGCTTGAGGGGACTTGGCAAATAACCTGGCGAGAGGGGTTCGAATTCGAGGATCCGGAGCGGGACGACGTAACGGTTGAAGTAAGTATCGCCATGGCAGGAACCTTTACCCTGCCAAACGAAATTGTACGAATGAGCTTGCCGCCCTTTCTACTGAGACGAATGGGAGGCTTGGAACGAGTTGAGCAAGCGATAGCTGCACTAGCTAGGCTAAGCTTCGAAGAAACATCAGTGCATCGAGAATACTATCGGGCCTTCCTAGATATGGGACCGTTTGAGAAAGAACAGGGATACAAACTGTTATGCATTTTATGTGCGGTTGTAACAACTAGACCAAGGATCCCACTAGTAAGTGATGAGACTATGTGGGGAGTCATTAGGTACCAAGTAAGTCGCAGAATGACCTGCATAGACGACGACTATCATTTATTCGAGTTACCAGAGGAAGAGGCAGCCCAATAAAGTGGAAAAGAAAAACAAGAATGATGGAAAGGATGGGGTAGGAAGCAGGAGGATAGCTAAAAATGTATGGGGCCATGGAAGGAATTAACAGGATTTACTTTCTGTCCGAACCATGTAGGAATACGCCAACCGGCGATGGCTATGAGGTGCCCCCGAACGTCGCGATGACCCACGCACCCACGACCACCCACGGAGAGCGGTAACGGGTGGGAAGTGTCGCTCCCAGCAAGCTACGAGGTTCGAGGGATCGACGTAGAATAGCGTGTTGTAACCTTGGGACAAAACCAAGCTTTTATGATAGTGAAATGCCTATGGACTGACATGAGATTCAATAGGGGTTCAAGAGATGACTTGTACATCGACCTTAGGGTGACTTAAACCGTGTATCTACCTAAGATTGGATGACACATATTGGGACCGAGATGGTACTAGGGCATGGGTTGTTGCCAATCTTTCGGAGAGCAACCAGAGCGTTGAACCGGATAGGCCAAGAAATTCGGGGAAGAAGGAATGTAGGGCTGAGGACTCGGATGAAAATAGGAGGATGGTGAGAGTTTAGAGCCCCGATGGGGGGATTGTGGTGTCGAGTACCCCGCTTAATGATTGACTTGGTGTTGAGGAGCCTCACGAGGGCAAGGGACCTGGTAAATGCAACCTTAATCTGTGTACACCATTTCCAGCCTTAGACGGCGGGAATGTTTTACGATATGTTAATAAGGCACGGGCCATTTTGGGGGAATCAGGGTGTGGGAATTGCTAGAACTCGTCGAGATTTTGATATTTGGGACACCGCGCCTGACTTATGAAGAATATGAGCCAACAATTATTAGGGAAATAGGAATGGGGAAGAACTACCTGGCAGGAGTGGTTAGGTTGTTCGAAGAGCCCGTCGAACATGACGAGCCCGAGGAACCGGTGTGAGAAAATGTCGGGGAAGGTGGTCAAATGTGAATACTAGCTATGAATTGCTAAACAAAAACGAGAATACCGATCTGCGGAAGATAGCAGTTGGAGTCCTACTTTATCTAAGGGTGCGTCAGGAAAAGGACTAGGATTGCCGCTACTACCGAGGATGCTAGAAGTGTCCAAAGGATGGGACGACAAAAGGTCATCTCCAAAACAGGGACCCACCCGTCATGGACACGCCTCTTTAGAGCCGATGCGCGGTGGTGTCAAAACGTCGACCATAGCGGCAGGCTCCCGACGGGAAAGGCAAGCGATGCCCCGTCAAACGGGAAAGGAGGGCAGACATGTTACGGTTACCATAAAAACATAAATATTAAAATGGAAAAGATAGGGAGATTATGAAACCGACAGTAAGCCTTAGAGCCTGGAAACCCTAAGAACTGTGAACAATCAGCCATTCTGAAAAAAAAAAACATTCCTATGTGCAGGATTAGAAAAGGATGGCAACAGAGGAAGAAGCAGGGAGTCTATGAAGCGAGGAGAGTCAGGGCATGGAGAAGGATGTATAACAGAACGAGGGGTCCGTAAGAGACGGAGAGTCGACGAATCCGAAAGGTACTAAGGAAGGAAAGAAGGAAGTTGCAACCGGGGTTAGCCCAGGAAAAGTCGACGGAAGCAAACGAGGAACTCAAGGAACTAAGGGGGATAAGGATAAGGGCAGCCCGATGTTACGGGCATCAGAGGGCGCACTGTCAAAAGATGTGAGGATAACGGACGCTGGGAAGAAATTAGCCGAAATAGAGAAAAAAACGGTGTAGTATAAAGAAAAACTTATAGAAGAAATGATGAATGAAGGCGAGGGGGACTCCGCTGGAGAAAGACCGTGCAAAGAGAAGGGGACAAATCCTGAGCGAGGAAGTCGAGAAGATATTATACAAAGAAGAAAGGGTAGGACCGGGGAACGTAGAGAGACGCCGACCAAGAAAGGAAAGGAGGGAATCTTCAGGAAGAGAGGCAGAAAAGGCTACCAACCCACGTGCTGTAGACAACAGGGCAAGTCGACCAGCAGCCTCACCCATAATTGCAAGGGGGTGCGAAGGACTTTGGAGCTTAAGAAAGAGGGTGCTAGGATGGTTCGACCTGGAAGGGACGACAAAGGATGGAGAAGGGGTAGAAGCAAGTAAGGAAGAATAGGGCTCTGGCATCACCAGTGGAATAGGAGGACCCGAGGGGGGACTTAGAAAGATGGTGTCTTCCCTCACGAGGGCGCTAAAAATAAATCAGGGGTATCTGGCCGATGCCAAGAAGAAGTTGTCGTTTGATGGGGCAAATGTCACGAAATTCCTGATACATTACGAGAACTTTGTGACACTATTAAAATGGAGTGAGGAAAAAAAGATGAAGCACCTAGGGCAGCATGTGTCATTGAACCTAGGAAAGGATATAATGACTATTGTCGCCACCAACAAATCCTGGAAAGAGCCCCGGGAGATAATGATGAGAAAATATCTGGCAGTCGAGAAGATCGCTATGGAAACAGAGCTGCTATGCAAAGAAATAATTTTGCAACATATAACGATTCCGTGAGGGAATTCATACTCGTGCCATTGCGAATCCCAAGGTTGACCGACCGTATAACGAGTAAGTACTTCCTAAGACAATTGACTGAGTTTGATAAAGATAAGATCCTATCGGCCTACCAACAGACCACGAAGTTTACGAATATGTGTGACGTCGATTTCAATACCGTAACAGACATTGCTGAGAAGATGGTTGTAACCGACTCATTGACTCTGCTGAAGGAAGGAGAGGTTATAGATGTAACTGTGAAAACAAAGGATAAGGTTAAAAGAGGGATAGAGAGTCTCCATGAGCGCGCCCACGGAGTAGATGGTAATAACGAAAGAGTGGAAAACGTGTTAGTGGTAATGCAGACCCAAGTAACGCAAACTAAGGCGGCACGAACCCCCCCCTCACCGCAAGACATTGTGGCTCCGACAAGGATAGCTAACCGAGGGTTCAATAGAAGAAACCCAGTCAGTGAACAATGCAAATATTGGACGATGATCGGACACTTTGTACGGGAATGTCCAAGGCTCAACCATGATATCATGCACAAAATATGTTATAGGACGCTACAAGGAGAAATCATAGGCCCCCGATGAGAGAATAAGAATTGGAACTCTCCGGGAGGGATGTGCCGAACCATAATCAACCTTGATGTCGCCACAATAGAAGTCGAGTCAGTGGCGGAACTTGCTAGGGAACAAGCACGAGGACGCGGGCCGCAGGTTATCTTTATCTTAGAAAATGACGGTCGAGATAGGGTGAATCTGACCACCAGACAGCGAACAACACAAAAAAAGGTCGTACATGACGCATTTATGAAAGATGCAGGAGATGGCGCGAGAGCGCCACAGGAAACAGAGGCGCAGGAACAAGAAAGGGTTTATGAAAACCTAGAGAGGAGGCCCCAATAGACAAAGCAACCTTAGCCAAGAAGAAATTTCGGTATCAGATTCTCATCCTGACTATGTCTTAGATCGATCACACCCTTAGCAAGCTGCTAGGGACCATGGTTTCGGTCTCGTTTCAAATTATGCTACAAGCAAGTCCTAGGCTCCTAAAAGACCTTGGGCAACTACTGACAAGGCGAAGATAAAAAGTAGAAGAAGGATCGGAACAGCAAGAAGAAGAGAAGCAAGAGGAGGCACCACGAGAAATCGCTAACCTCCAAAGGATTCCCGGGGACCTAGAAGACCTAGAGAACTTTTTCACAGATATCCGGCTAAGCCTACTAGACAGCGAGGGAGGCGAAGTTATGAGGGCGCCACCCGGAACGAAGCTTAGCTTCCATGCGTTGTCATTGGGCAAGTTGAAAGTCCATATTGGAAGCCACCACACCGATGCGTTGGTAGACGGAGGGGCTGAAATCACGCTCATTACGAGCGATTTTGCAAAGATTATGGGATGCCCAGTAAACAAGGAGACAATTGGAAGCATCCGTGGGGCAGGTAGCGAAATCTCTTTCTCCGGGTATGTTACTAAGTCTACAGTCAAGGTAGGGGTTCGAGAGTCCATTTGGTCATTCCAACGGATGACTGTCATGGATGAAATGGACCACGACATAGTCCTTGGGAGACCCGCAAATATGGAAATGATAGGAACGCACCTGCACGATGGGACATGCATGGTAGACATAGAAGATCAGGTGACGGGACGTGGGGAGTTGCTCCGTCTCATCGGGACAGGGTGTGACACACCAAAAAGAAAGCTAGCAACATGGTCACCATCGTTCGAGGAAAGTGTCAGAAAGAGGGTTTTCGCACGAATGGAAGGAATGAGAAAAAGGGTTCAAATGATGATCAAATAAGCTTTCAACAAGAAAAAATGGATCAA